ACATCTTCTTTTAAAAGAAGAGATACCAGTTGTCGGAGAGAGTGATCAGCCCCCCCCCGGCCGCTGGCCCACAGAGTATGAGACATGCGCTGTTTTACTTGCAAGGGTGCACACCGCAGTGTAGCTACAAGGGTGTGGCACCACGAGAGGGTTTATTTATACTTTAAGGTGATCAGGTTACATTGTGGGTGTGAACAACATTTCGAGTGGGATAGAATGGGATGTGGAAGTGGGAGTGGAAATAGGAACAACAGAACGTACAGCAGAGGTGGGCTCGTCTGCTGCATGTGATAGAAAATTACTTGTTAAGCACTTACACAGTTGCCATGTAAAACAAGTTATACATTCATAAGAATACACATGAGTGATAATATATACACAATTCCAACCCAACACCAGTGTAAACAAAATACAGTGGTGGTGTGGTGGTTAGACCCACTATTTGCAGTTTATAGGCCAATTCTTTTTTTTTTTTTGATAAATACGATTTTCTTTTCTATTTCAGTTCACAATTTTCTTTATTTGGTGTCTCTTCGGTGTCAGTTTCAGTTTACAATAATAACACTGGTCCCAACAAGCCCAATGTGTACAAACACACACTGGCACCGTCAATCAGCGTAGAATAAGCACAGATTCTAGCTGAAACATTTTCTCCAAACATCTTCAATGAGAATTCTGAGGTAGCAGGCAGACAACTTTATGGCTTTAATAATGAGCGTACTTACAGTAGCAGCTACAAGGACCAAAGATATTAAAATGCTCTTCATGCTAATGGTAATTCAATGAACATGAACAGACAACACGTCAGTTTTGCCTTTTCCGGCGGCCCATCATCCAGAATAATGCTTGTGCGTTTTCTCTTCAGGCGCTCATGCGTAGCCCTAATTCCTGTGGAGGCCATTGAACCTTTGCACAGTGTACAAACCATCCATTTGTTTTGTGGTAAACTACTCCCGTAATTATGCAGTGATATTGAAGGAAAACATTTGTTATAATGAAGTGTTTTAGAAAAGAAAAGGGTAGTTTCATTAAAATAATTTGTAAAAAGATGTGTCGATTTAAGACATTGATGTCGATGCATTTTCAGAGCTGACGTGATCGACAACATCAGATAATCGTGGCAGCCCTATTTATGCACGTAGGGACTATTCTTTAAAAAATGAGCAAAAACATTTTTCAGTATATTTAAAATAAAGATTTCATTAACAGTACACATACTATACACATAAAAGAAATTAAGCTACTGAGAAACATGATCATCCATTCAAGCAGCAACCAGTAAAACAAATAAAATTTTATTCAGTCTTGCCCATTTCTCCTTTTTTTGGCATATCCCCATATACAGTAGATTCAGGGAAATTAAAATCTATAACAACGACTCCTGGAAGATATTCATAACATTTATAATGGAGAAAGGCTGATCAAATTTGATAAACTGTAATTTTCTGAGTAATATCTTTTGATTTCTCACTATCTGCAATGAAATTTCTTTTCCAATCAAACGCTTGCATTACTGACGGACTTGCATTATTCTGCAGTACTGCAGCCTTTTTTATTGGAAGGTGAGCAATCAAACTTATTTATTCGAAATGTTTATTCGTAGATCCCCCTTGTGTGCAAAATGCATTTCTAACATTGTTTTCACGAACGTTAAAAAAAAACTCTAATTGTTTTGAACACTGGTGGGCAAATCTATACTATATTGCCAAAAGTATTAGGACACCCCTCCAAATTATTGAATTCAGGTGTTCCAGTCACTTCCATAGCCACAGATGTATAAAATCAAGCACCTAGGCATGCAGACTGCGTCTACAAACATCTACGAAACAATGGGTCACTCACAGGAGCTCAGTGAATTCAAGCTTGGTACCGTGATAGGATGCCACCTGTGCAATAAGTCCATTCGTGACATTTCCTCGCTACTAAATATTTCACGTTCAACTGTCAGTGTATTATAACAAAGCAGAAGCAATTGGGAACAACAGAGCCTAGTCCACATGTTTTGCCACAACACAATGTAATTTACATTTTAAATTCAGACTAAATTGACTTCTTGTGCCATTCTATAGGGGACTTATAAGGCATACGACAATCCTTCCTCCCCAGTGGCTGTGCATTCTGCACTGGGGAACACTGGGTTTGCGTCCTTCTCTGCCCCATTAGCTATCAGTAATGAGGAGAGACCCAGAGCCTGCACTGGCTTACATTACATCAGCTGGGTCAGGCTGCTATTTTACACTACATCTTATTGCTCTGTGTTGGCTGGCAAAACGAAGAAAGAAAGAATGGCCACCAGTACAACCATTTTTAAAAATGGCATTGCTTTGTTTCAGAAAATACAGCTCTTGTAAAAAATTAAGAGACCACAGCACAATTTTTTGATTGACTAATTTCTCTATTTATGGTTGTGTGGCTGTGAATAATATATATATTTTTCACAAACTGTAACCTGGTTCTTCTCTGTTTCTCATTAATGAAGGGCTTCTTCCTTGCTTTATGGGACTTCAGTCCTACTTCTAGGAGCCTCATACAAACTCTCCTAGCAGTGCACTTCACACCTGCACTTAATGTTTCCCATTCCTTTTGAAGGTCACTTGATGTTATCCTCTGATTCAGGAGAAACTGTCAGATAAGTTAACGTTCACCTCTGACATCAGAAAGTCACTTCCGCCCTCTACCTGACTGGTTTCTCGTCGTTCCCAGTGTCTCCTGCTTCACATTATTCTTGTGTACTGCTGTCTCAAAAATTTTGAACCTGGAAGCAACCTGCTGCTCAGCATAGCCTTCTACCAGAGATTAAACTAGGATTTAAAAATGCAGATTTGTTTAAAACTATAGAATGGTCTCTTATTTTTTTCCCCGGTCGTATACATTTTGCCCAGCTCTTGTTCTCCTCTTTCTCCAAGTGCCAAATGCAGATGTATTCATGGTGACAATTTAACAGACCTTTAAATGCCCTTTTTAAAAAATAAATGCTGATTATCACATTATGAACTTTCTTATAAAAAAAAAAATCACGTTTCTGTTAAAATTATTTAGCGGCCCAAGCATGCAGTGTTTAATGCCTACTGTATTTATGTTTTTTATGCATCTTGATTCAGCTTATCACCACAAAAGTATAAGAGGTATAGAAGACGAAAGACTGGATGATTCACCATGTTTTAACCATACAGGGAGGATGATGGACACACTCTACATCCAGTGCATGGTATTGACAGATGACTTTCACAGAGTTCCCAAATCTCATGCCTCTGGCGTACACTGATGCTTTCAGACTCTAACGCTCACAGAAATCCTATGGCCAATGGAAGCTTCCTAACTGTGGTGGTGTAATGGTTAGGGAAGTGTGCTTGAAATTTAAAGATTGCTGGTTTGAATCCCCAACCAGCAATGTACCACTGAGGTACTCTAAGCAAGGAACTAGTCCCCAGGTGCTGAATTAGCTGCCCTCTGCTATGTCATATGAGTGCTGTGGTCTGTCAACAATGATGACTAATTAGCATTCCACAGTCATATACAAACTGTCAACTTTAGCTATGGTAATGCACAAAATAGAGAAACAGTGTCAAAGTGTAACTAAATACCTATTTAGCAAAAGTGAAATCAGGCCGCTAAGATCTATTATTAGGATTAATAATATAGAAAGTCGGTAAGCTTCATCCAAAAATATATGGTGAAGGCCTAAACGCTTTTCTTCTTCAGTAATCTTTTATGAATAATGGATAATTGCTATCTAAAAAATAGAAAATTATGGGATAATATCCCAGATAGCACACATACAGTATGTTGAAATGACATTGATTCCATATCAGACAAAAAGGTTGAAACAACGTTGATCTTCAATCTTCCACTTTATATCAACATTGAATCAAGGTTTTACCACCATCAATTTTTCAAAATTGAAGATCTTACCAAAATTCAATTCAGTTTCAATGTTGATAATTTAACACTGACTATAATTCAACGCATTTAACTATAATTCAACGTTGAAACAATAACATGGTGCTGTCTGGGGAATGGTCTATGACATGCTTTTATAAAATCAGGGTTGCCAACTCTCACGCATCTGGCGTGACACGCTTTTTGACTCTCACGCTCGCGTAATATCCTACGGCAAATCTATATTATTCCATTACAAACCTAAAATTAGCTAGATCAAAAGCGTCGGGGTAATTTACAAACCCTACATACTGTTTCAAGGTGATGAAACTGCATACATACATGTAAAAGTGTGTGCAGATCTCATCTCAGCCAGCTGAGCTGGCAACCCTGATATAAAACATTTAATTACAATGTATTTCTCTTATTTAATGTATACTATTACCAAAAACTGTTCATAGTTTTGTATTGCATGTATTGTTGCAGAAGTGGTAGCCCGAAACTACACAAAATTCAGTTTTTTTTTACTTTAAAACGTTATATAAACTCTATATACTGTATTTAGTGAGAAATGTTGATTTTAATTCTCAAAAAAATGTACAATATAAATTGGACATCCAGTGTTATCGTCCCTTGTTTAAACGACAGTGCTGTAAAGAATTAAAGTGTCAAAATACACATTTAAAGAAATCAGCAGTTAATATACGAACTACACTTTAAAATGTGTCTGCGCAGAGACAATCCGTAGACAAATCATTTATTATTCTAATATCTCTGTATAAACACCTATTACAGTACTAATTATGTAATTGAATGTTACAAGAAGAAAACCTTAAAAATGCAAGAGTCGTGTCGTAACACAGGAAAGGGTAAATATTAACCAAGCGTGTATAGGCATCACATGTGACATAACAGAAAGACATTGGCGCGTGTCCTTAATTTATCTCATCGCCTCCGCTTAATGTGTTACAAAAGGCTGTCATCTATCACACCGCGTGGACCATATGTACGATGCGTACAAAATGCACGTATACATCTACATTAAATACCCATACAGTGTATGGAAATCTGCTGGACAGTGTTTTAAAGTGTGTCGTTAAAACGTTTGATTTCCTACTCACACAATTTGTGTCGGTTTCTTGTAATTGCTCCCCTACACCATCCTGGGCGGGATCCACCATCAGGGAGTCCAAGCAAGCCGAGCCTAAAGACGAGCTCTTCTGGTGGGACGGCACCATATGAGACACGCTGAGCTTCGGGCACTCCCGTCCCGACACGCTGAGCTTCGTCCATTCCTGTTCTGACTCCGCATCTGCGGTTCGCAGCATCTGAAGCGCTTGCACTTTGTTGCTGATCGGATCATCATAAGACGATCTCTCGCAGTCGAGGGGCACCGAAACGGAGCAGCAAAGGTTTGGCTGCGAGGATGAAAACTCACGGTCCAAAGCCTTTTTCTTGTTTCTTCTGAACATCCGCAAGCCAGTTTCCTTCTTTCCGTCTGCACTGCGGCAATCAGACCCAAGTTTAGGGCTTAGAAACGGTCTTGTTTTCTCTTGGAAACTCTTCCACATGCTTTTCTGGTAGGGCGCCGCTTCTGGCTCCACGGTATGATCCCTCTTATGTTTCTCGTCCATTCTGTCCGGTTCGCGATGTTAATGATAACGTGGCCCGCTATACACACGCCATCGACCTGCTCACCCAGCAGATCGAAACGAAGGAGCTGTTTCCTTCAGTATGGATGACTTATTGTATTCTGTGACCCGGACTAAAAATGTTCACTTAATGGCAAACAGCAGGTCAGCGTTAGTCTTTATAGTCTGGAAGCTTATGTGTCAAACCGCTAAAGCTGTAGCGGAAATACGATAAGGGTGTTAAGTGAGATGAGAAACTTGACGGCGTTAAACTGTTAACTGCATGGTTTTCTGTTTCAGGAACCTACCGGCTACATGGAGAAAAAAAGTATGAAGAGGACAGGACGGCATCCAGAGTATTTGTCTTTCTGGCAGCAACTTAATTTGATGCCTTGTCAGTCTGTGTGAGCATCCTAGCTTATTCAATGAAGGTTTCGAAAGGTGAAAGCAAACAGTTACCTGATAGATTTGATAAATGTATTAATGCATTTTCTATATATAAAAAAAGTACTGAACAAAATCTACTGAAGATATTTTGAAATGTAAGCTATTTGCCCCCAATTGTAAATAAAAATTAAACCTGTTCATTTAAAATGTGGATTAAATGTCAGCCTCATATTTTTTTTAAACCTTTTTCTCAGGGTGTTTCAATTTTCCATCATTTTATATGTGCATCTTTGTGATGTACCATGTATTTTCCAAGATAGGTGCTCAAGCACCAAGACCTGCCATGAAAAGCAAAGAATTTCCAATTAAAGTGTCCTGTCTTGGGAACATGCACTCTGTCTTCTTCGGTTTTATCTCACACAAATGTACACAATGTCCATGCACTGTGTTATTATTTGCAGCACAAGAAATGTTACTACAGCACAAACTTTCTGAGTAATGAGCATAAATGAAGCCTTGGAAAAATATGACCACACAATAAATATTAAAATAAAGGAGCCTTTTCAGCAGACACAAAAAACAAACTTGGGCTTGTACATTGGGGATTAAAGACAAAAGCTGTACCAATAAATAGTGTCTGGACCTTGGAATGAATTGCTGGGGGTGAAACAGAACAGATCACTGCATAGAGGAATAGCAAACTAATCAATATGTGAATCCTATCTCCAGAAACAACCCTAAGCCACGCCCCCTCCCCTTCAGAGAATAGTCAGCACTGACACTTAGAAGAGATTAAGAAAAGATTAATTGGAACAGAAACAGTGGGCTGGTCCTCTGGGAAATTGATACCTCAGAAGAAAGGAAGAACAGATAATAGCAATTAATAACTTCCTTCTTTTTCAGAAACGGACTGTTTTCATGGAACACTCCTCTCAAGATGAAATATATGAATAAGGAATTTGCATCTGTTTAGCAGACACTTTTTATCCAAAATGATGTACAGTTGAGAAAGCAGGGTCAGTCAGTCCATGGAGAAATTGGGAGTTAAGGGCCCAATAGTGAAGTCACTTTGCCAATCACAGGATTTGAACTGACAACATTCTGACTTTGACTTCTTCAAAGTAGGTATCCTCCCACAAATCCAGTAATATGTAATTTAGATTGACTGATGTTGTGAAATTGTCATGGGTGTGTAACTTATATTCTGCTCAAAGGAATCTCCTGCATCATGTTGCCACGATATGAGGGATAAAGGACTTGAGGGCAGGTGTTTTTGACAAACCAAAATGGGGTTTTATTGAAAGAAAATGAAACAAACAGGGATTGGAAAGAATAATGACTGCAACAAGGAGGGACACGGGCTGACAAGAAGAGTAATGTTAATCTCTGGACTAGTGACAATGAGACAAACAGGTCCTTATATACATGGACTAACATGGGGCAACAAGCATCAGGTGTGGCCCATCAGGGCCATGTGAGGGAAGAGACAGGAGGGTCAGACAAACTTGGCAGACAGGATATGACAGTACCCCACCACCAAAGTGTGCCCTCTGGGCACGAAGAACGAACATGGGCACAGACTAAGGGGACCTAATGACAGGGGGAACACACTGGGCCAAGAACAGATGGGACAGCGGGCAGGACAGGGCATGGCAGGACCGACAGGGCACACAGGACAGACACCACAAAAGGTCAAAGGGACAGAATCACTGGAAAGGATAGGGCAGGACTAATGGCATGACAAGGGGACAGAACAGGCAGGGGTTAGGACAACAGAAGAGATCAACAGGCAAATGACCTACCAAAGGACAGATGAAACAGACCATATACAAGACATGACTGGGTGCCAGGAACAAACACTACAAATCAAGGGGGACCTGGGAGCAGAAGAAACTGAGATGAAGACAAACGGAACAGGCCATACCCTGACAGGGCAACAGAGACAGGAGTGGGAACAGAAGAGGGAGTCATTGGGGACACAGACTGGGTGAAAACAAAGGCAGGACTTTGCCTTTGCAAGTCAGTGCACCTGAGGTGCACTGACTTGCACCTCAGTACAGGGACTGAGGTGCAATGAACGAAAACAGGGGGTGTCCAGGAAGTCCTCCAGACACTGGAAATCTAGGCGACGATCCTGGGTGTGGATCCTCCTGGGCCCTTTCACTGGCAGGACAGGAGGGCGCTAAGGGGACTGCAGGACAGGAGGGCCCTAAGGGGACTGCAGGACAGGAGGGCGCTAAGGGGACTGCAGGACAGGAGGGCGCTAAGGGGACTGCAGGACAGGAGGGCGCTAAGGGGACTGCAGGACAGGAGGGTAAGGGGACTGCAGGACAAGAGCAGGAGGGTGCTGTGGTTTCTGTCCTCAAGGCCGCAGCACGGGCGGGCATCTTTGGGAAAACTGGAGCCTGTTTCATGACCAGGGAGTCAGGCATTGGACTGGCAGCAACCGGAGAGCTGGGTGTCAGACTGGCTCTGACCAGCAGGGGATGAGGTGGTCAGTGGTGACGAGCCAAGGGAGACCACCAAGGCATTGACAGGAGATGAGGCGGGTGTCGAGGTGACAACAGGAGAAGAGGCTGGTGTCGAGGTGACAACAGGAGATGAGGCGGGTGCTGACAGGACATCAGGAAATGAGACAGACGTCAAAGGCACATCAGCAGACAAGGCTGGAGCCAACAGGACATCAGGAGATGAGGCTAGAGCCAATAGGACATCAAATGATGAGGCAAGTTGGGCAAAGCCGGTACACATGGAGGCAAGCACGGTTGAGACTTGACTAGCGACAATGAGACAAACAGGTACTTAAATACACGGACTAATGTTGGACAACAAGCATCAGGCGTGGCCCATAAGGGCCAAGTGAGGGAGGAGACAGGAGGGTCAGGCAGCCATGGCAGTCAGGATGTGACACGTGTCCTGAGTGCAGGGTCAGCCCACCCTATAGGCAATGTGTAAAGGGTGTCATTTGATTGGGGGCACAAAAGACTAAGTGAAAAAATCAGAAGAAATGTCATGCATCCCATGTCATTACATATATTCACATTAGTTTTTATATTTTGCCTCGTGAAACAGACATGAGCTGTCTAGTTAACAACCAGATACCCTGTGCCCCTGTGCAACTGAAATGTTTTTAATATAAATTAATTTATGAAATCTGTTTTCTGCTGGGGGTGGGGGGGGGGGCTGGAGGGGGATCATGATCTCACCCACAGTAGGGCGCCAGTACACCCAGGGCATCTGAATGTCCCACCTTAAGCGTAATGTGGCCCTTGGTCATTATAAGGGGTTACAGACAGTGTATTCATTTTTCACCTAATTTATTATATGGGCTTTCCATTTTCTTCGTGTTATTCGTGTATGATTCATGTAAGATTCTTTATGTCTAGGACTATGTCATAACCTTTGACCTTTGCACTACGGCTGTTTCAGAACTTAATTGTGAATCAAACCTCTAAGAAACCAGTAACCATTTGTCCACACTCAACCAGTCAGGGCTTTGGTTAAATTGCAAGAAAAAAGGTTAAGTCAGATATTGCTCTGCACATAAAGTTAAATATAAATTTAGGCATGGCTGTACTGAGGCCTAAGTCTTTTATGTGAAGTATTGTCTGAAATTAAAGCAAGCATTTTCATGGATTCAGTTATTTGATTTTTGATTAATTACATTAGTTTTTTTTTAATTTCTTGACCATACCATTGATCTCAGGAGAGAAGACTGCATCAAGTTACATGGAGGAATGTTTCGTGAAAAGCAGGATACTTTTGTTATATGAATATTTCTCTCACTGGGCTAATCCTAAAATGGATGAATAAGCAGAAATATTTTTTATGAATTGTGATGATTACATTTACATAACTTTTAGCGTAAAATAGCTCTTGTGGCAGATTAGAGGTCAGATCTTAAAATGCAAGTTGTAAGATGACCAAATCCTGGAGGCTTCAGCTACATTGATTCATTGGAATTTAAGCACCATGAAAGACAACAAGTTCCTGTTTAGATGTATTTTCCCATGTTTAAACATTACACTTTTCAAACATGTTTCAGCTGCTTATCCCAGACAAAGTGGCATAGGACCCTGGAGCATAAACCAAGCAGAATAGACCACAAGACATAGGAGATGTCAGTCCTGGGCATATATACCCTCACTATGGTAATGTAGAGATGCTGATTAACCTGACTGAAGGTCTTACAACTGCAGTAAGAAACTAAAGTATCCAGATTAAAAAAAAAGTCACACACCACAGTGAGAACATGTAAGCTCCTCATTCACACTGCAAAGGTGGGGTTCAAACCCCCAACCCTGAAGTTGGGGCTTAACAGTGCTATCCAGTGAGAATCCTTGCCACCCCCAATCAAATACAAGTATATACAGTACTGTGCAAAAGTCTTAGGCAGGCAAAGAAAATGTTTAGATTATCCTCGTGTTGGTGTAAAACTATGATACTATGCCTGTCAAAGTGTGTCAGCTTAGCCATTTCAGAACCTCTGCTAATATCACCCCAGTATTTGCAGTGACCGTCCAGTGCAGCCATGTATTTTTTGACTTGGCTACTAACACACCCCATACAGCTGGTCAATCTGTCACTGACTTTTTAAACCAATTTATTTAATTATTTAATTGAGCTGTTGGTGAAATTTAACAAAATCATGGAACGGCTGAGGTGCCCCTGAGGAGAAGTTTGGGAACTGAAGCGGTGTTCATCTAGCCATCCAACTAGATATCAGTAACTTTTTAGAAAACAGAAGAAATTATTGCTAGTTTTTATTGTGTTACTCTTAATTTGCACGTGTTCTAATGTTAAATTGTGTTTTTTGTTCTAAGCCAAAGTACACTTGCTACCCAGATAAACAGCTTTAAACATTTCTTTGGACTGCCTAAGACTTTTGCACAGTACTGTAAATACATAGATGCTGTAGTGCTTGGATCAACCGGCAGCCCTATGTGAAGACAACTGCATTTCTCTGCCACAGTTCATCCGACCACCAGAGTATTGACTGAGAACCCCTGGTCTATTATAATCAGCACATAAAATTATTAATATAAACTGATTATCACAATTACCTGTTTCAGTAAATAACAGACTGGCACTCCATCCAGAGTGCCCCTTGCCTTGTGACGTCCTGGCATAGGTTACAGGGTTACTGTCAGTGGTACTTACTGATGATTGGTGGAGGGGAGGGAAAACAGAAGCTTTATCCCTGGAGATGAAATTCCCAAAAATAGGGGCAGGGGGTCTTGACAAACGCAGAGTAACTCGTCGTTTACGGCCAGTGACTGTGGCAGCAGCGTCCTGAGTGATCTCACCAGCACATCTGAGGGGACAGCGGATGCCGGTTTAATTATCCATTATAGCAGTGCGTGGTTGGGGTGTGTCCTTTTGGCTTCGTGCTAATCAGCCATCCAAAGCACCAGTCCTGAATTACCTACAGGTGGCTGCATTGTGCATGTGGTCAGAGCAGAGAGCATAGGCAGGTCCCAGACGGGAAGTCAAGTGGGCAGAAATATATTGGGATTCTATCATCATGGCCCTGTAAACTGAGCAGGCCGTCACCAAGTCTTTTATATCCAGGTGTCAGGTTTGCAAAGACACGCCCTTGCTTGGGTATGAAATAGTAACCAGGTGACCTTGGCAAACAAATTCGGTGCCATTCACTATAGTCAAAACAAGCAAGCTGTGTATATGTAAGTATAATTGAAGTAAAAGTAATATGAACTATTTGTTTTTGCATCGATATCAGTGCTTTCTTGCTTAAATTTGATGACTGCCTTATCATATTGTGATGATTTCAGATGGTATGTGTGTATTTCGTATGTAACTATAGCATGAGAAACAAAGAATGTTACCCTGAAAATAATATCAACATATAGCAAAGCGTCTTACAGATCAGTTATTAATAATTATTGACGCTTTTTTTTACAGAAAAAACCACAGCCGACTAATACAAAAAGGATATGTCAGAAGAAATGACATTAAATAATTACCAGCCACACACTGATAAGTATGTAACATCATGTTTAGTAGGTTACAGTTTACTAGTTAATCCTAAGAATTACTGAGACATTATCAGAGAGTCCAAGCATTCCAGTGTGTCTACCAGTCTCATGAAAATGGGCAATCAGTTCTAATACAGATTATAATGTCATGAGTATATAAACTGCATTGTTTGAGAAAAGCAGTTAATGCTCTCATATTTAGCTCATTTGTGATCACAATGAATTTTCAATTAATCAAATCCAAGAAATTCAGCTAAAAACCATTTTGTTTTACACGACATTGTGTTAATAAGTACAATACCTGCTGCAAAGTAACAAAGTAAAGTTTGTGAGACGACTGCAAGCTAGTGAAGCAATTTATTTATGGTTTATTTATTGTCCCTGAAATGTAGGCTGGCAAATCCAGAGCAGAGTATGGCGTTCTTATTGGAAGAAGCTGTCCGCATCAAAGATGACATTATTGCCAGCCTGCGTACCACACAGACATCTGTGCAGACACAGGCCTTTTCACACAGACTGCTGGAGAATCATGTACAGACCATCACTCACATCGTTAGGCAGCTCAGCAAGAACATTGAGGTATGAGAAGTACAATCTGGTGAGAACAAAATAACTCATAAGAATTATTTGGGCCTAGAGAATGACTGATATGTGACCTTCTACTAATTCTGCACTTATCAAATTAACTTTATGAAGTGATTAAATAGCTTTTCTTCTGGGACTCAGTGTGTCTTACTCAAACTAAACCATACCCAAAAAAAATCAAGCTGTTTTAAAATACCAGCCAATAGATCTAGTTTAAAAACTAGTGGAATAATAAAAAAAAATCTCTGACAATGATCTAATTTTCTTAAGTGGCCTCATATTTTTCTTTTGTAATTATAAATTGCTGTGATTTTCATAAATGAGATTTATAAATATTTCAGTCAAATTCCGTTTGACATTATGAAAAGAAACTTCATTCTGCATTTGATTTGTCTTCATAACAATTCTTTGCTTTTATACCGTTTTATATCTGTAATAAAAATTATGGCAGCTTATTACTTTCCACAGACATTTAATTAATACAAACTGAAAAATAAATATTTGACGATGCTTTCTTTCTTTTATAAAAGTGTATATGAACAGTATCTTTTGAAATGTCTGGATTAGCAAAATTGATGTCTTTAAGATTACTATTATGGAATGTCCCCTTTAGATAATAAATAGATCTTTTTTAATGTCAGCTATTAAAACATCTAAAATATATTAGTATAGCCTGGTTTTGTATCATTTGAAATTGTGAAGTTGATGAACACATAATTTCCTTGGAAAATGAGGCCAGTGAGTTTCCCCTGACATCTCCTCCAGATGCTGGAGAGCCAGATCATCCTGAGGGACCACATATCCTCTGGGAGCAGTTTTGCTCTACAAAGCTTGGATCAGAAGAATCTGATGGGCATTGGAGACCTCAGGGGGAGAATGGCCAGGTGTGTGACTCAGTACCATCAACTTCAACATATTTATGTGGTACCTTAGCAGAACTTTAACATGTTTACGTGGTA